TGATTAGCTCCAATGGAAATTGCTTTCCAACAGTAAACAACTAAAAGCTAGAAAATTTATATAAAACAACCGTTTTCAAACACTGAACAAGTGGTTCAAAACTATGATCTGTAAGGAAAGAGAAACAAATGAGTCAAGCTGTCTGAATGCCCCAACATAGTGCCTTGAGAGTTTTTAGCTGAGAATAAAGGGAGATGAAATACCAACACACACTGGTCTACCAATGTTGAAACAGAGATGGGAATTCAGAATGGCTAAGAAGGCTAGAATTTACAGGGTGGTGTACCAAAAAAGAGAGACAAAGACACCAAGGAAGTCTCAGACATATATATATATATATATATAAATATATAAATCTGAGTTTTTGGTTGAAAACTGCGCAGATATGAGAGGAAAATTCCCGAGGGCAGGATCTGAGATTAGTTTAATTCCCAAAAGAATTAGTTTAAGTTTTATTCTCAAAAGACTTTTTAATACATAGGTGATTGGGTCAAATCCTCATGCATTATTTGTAGGTCTAAATAAGTACCCGAATAAAAGCTACTCTGGATCTGCCGTAACAAACTTAAAATCAAGCCTAGAAAAAAAAAAATGTTTCACAATATACTTATTTACACATGACTAAACAAATCCAATACTCTTTAAAGAAACTAGAAAATTTATCATTCAACAATGGAAAATTAAAACTTATCAAATGAAAACTACTGAAGAAACAGAAAGCTACAAACTATAATTGGGAGAGAAAACAGAAAGAGACCTAGAAATGATACATAGCAGAATTACAAAGGTTATATATTAAAGATATACAGAAAAACATCAATATGATGGATACTAGAAATTATGCATATAAACTAAAATGGAATTTTCACGTATTTTTTTCTTTACTAGAGGGCATGTGCACTCACCAGAGAAAGACAGGGAGAGTGAGAAAGTAGCCCCTAACCTGGCATGTTCATATCACAATCCCTTCTCCGTTCCTCCATCCTGTTGGGATTTGGGACATGCACATGGCACATGCACCCAGCATGTTTTTCAAGTCACAGATTATGGGACTCGAGCCTTAGTTGGTCATGTGAGATCTGGTTCCCTTATTCACTAGGTAACAGGCTGGCCCTGAATATCTAGATTTGACCAAACAGAATAAAAAAAAAAATCAGTAAATTTGAAGATATAGCAGTACGATTATAGTCTAATCAAAATGAAGCACAGAAAAAAAGTTTTTAAAACTGAACAAAGCTAGGGCTAACAGCTGACTTGAGGACTGAGGTGCTAGACTCCCACATGGCCAACTGCAGTTCAAGTCCTGGACCTGATGGCTTGCTTTCTCACTTTCCCTCTCTCTCTCTTTCTCTCTCTGGTGAGCCTATATGCCCTAGAGCAAATTAACAAATAATAACAATAAAATTAAATAATTCTTTTTTAAAAAAATTGAACAAATTTCAGCTAGCAGTTAGTGTGTTAGGTAAGGCACTGGATCCCACATGGATGACTCCACAGTCTGAGTCCCAGACTCAGTGTTTTAAAAAAACAAAAAACAAGTTGGGCACGTGTGTGTACATGCCCAAAACTCCCAAAAAGAGAATGGCAGAGAAAGGACTGTGGTTTGGCCATCCCCCAAGGGGGTTGGTCTCTCTCTCTCTCCCTCTCCAGTGAGCACATGCACCCTATGGTAAAAAATAAAATAAAATAAAATAAAAAAGCCTTAGTGAATTGTAAGACAACTCCAAGAAGTCTAACACAACTATCATTGGAGCCAAACCTGAAGAGTAGAGTGAAAAATGAGACAACAGAGAAAAACTTCAAGAAACAATGACTCCACATTTTCCAGATTTGAAAATTATAAACCAAGAGATCCAAGTAGCTTCAGATACTTCAAACAGAAGTATTTTAAACATATAATTTCCAAGATAATTAATATATAATAGTATTTATTAAAAGTAAATTTTAATTATTTTTAATAAAATCATTATAAACCAGAGGATAATCTTAAAAGTACCTAGAGGGTATGGAGACAGAGCATTGTCAGAACAGGGAAGTAGTGTTGTATTTTGATCAACTGGACCGGGGAGAAATGTTCACCTTGTAAGTTAAATAATGTAAAATAAAATAAAATAAAAAAGCCTTAGTGAATTGTAAGACAACTCCAAGAAGTCTAACACAACTATCATTGGAGCCAAACCTGAAGAGTAGAGTGAAAAATGAGACAACAGAGAAAAACTTCAAGAAACAATGACTCCACATTTTCCAGATTTGAAAATTATAAACCAAGAGATCCAAGTAGCTTCAGATACTTCAAACAGAAGTATTTTAAACATATAATTTCCAAGATTATTAATATATAATAGTATTTATTAAAAGTAAATTTTAATTATTTTTAATAGAATCATTATAAACCAGAGGATAATCTTAAAAGTACCTAGAGGGTATGGAGACAGAGCATTGTCAGAACAGGGAAGTAGTGTTGTATTTTGATCAACTGGACCGGGGAGAAATGTTCACCTTGTAAGTTAAATAATGTGATTAAATGTATAAAAAATGTAAATTAATAGATAGATAAAATTAAAAAAAAAACCCAAACAGTACCTAGAGGGAAGGAGAAAGAAGAACACAGCACATTCAGAGGAACAGAGATAAGATTTACAGCAGATTTCTCATTAGATATCATTAGATATCATGCAGAACAGAAGACAAAGAGAATTTTTAAAGATGAATAAAAGGAAAAACAAAATACCACCAGCCTCGACCTCTATACATAGAACAAAGCTGTAAGAGCCACACTTCTTGATTTCAAAACTTACTTTAAAGAAGTACAGTAATGAATTTGGAATTCACTCATTTTCCTCAAAACAATTCACTCAATTATTATGAAACTGTTCAAGCAATGAGAACTTTTAATTATAACAAGCATACAAAATACTAATCCATTATTATCTTATTATTTTTGAATCAAATAAAAGAGAAATATTTTCTATTTGCTCAGTCACATATATCCATAATGACTAATTACATGACCAGAGAAAATGAGAATTATTTAGATTCAGCCGAGGAAGCTAGTATTACAAGTACTTCTGTACTTCTTTTCTTTTTTTGTTATTTTATTTTTATGAGTTTTTTTTGTCTAAGGGTACATGCTCTCACTAGAGACAGAGAGACAAGGACAGTGAGAGGGAAAGAAAAATCACTGCCTGGGAAGGATGGCCACCACAATCCCCCTTCCTTCATTCTCCTCCTGGGATCTTGGGCACACATGCACACACGCCAAGCATGAGTTTCAAGCCACTGGGTCCAGGACTCAAACCACAGCTGGCTATGTGGGAGCCCAGTGATGTAACCGCCATCTGTTGGCCCCAGCACTTCTACTATGCTAAAGATGGACAGGAATACAGACAAGAAATTTACCCAATACGTGCGTCAATATTTGATGGAGAATAAACATTTGAAGACTTAACCAAATGTATGCTCTGTAAATTAAACATTTATCATTCAAAGAGTTAAAGCATAGGTTATTTCAACTACAATATTGTTAATAATGGTATTTCCCTGCATTCCTCTCCTTTATTAAAACTGAAAGTCTACATTCCACACCAAACAGATAGCTCAGTAAGTATAGAACTTAGCTGAAAATCAGACTAATGGGTATGATGTACATCCTAGTAAAAACGAGCAAGAGTTTTATCTTCAAATTTACTAATTTTTTACTCTATTTGGTTGAATCTAGATATTCAGGGACAGCCTGTGGCCTAGTGATTAAGGAAACCAGAGCTCACATGACCAACTATGGCTACAGTCCCATACCCTGTGGCTTGAAAAGAGTGCTGGGTGTATGTGCACATCCTAAATCCCAACAGGATGGAGGAATGAATAGCAAAGGAATTATGATACGAACATGACAGGTGAGGAACTACTTTGTCCCTCTTCCTCTCCTCCTCTCTGGTGACAAGACGTGAGTATTCTAGTTTATTTGTTTGTTTGTTTTTAAGGAGAAATTTTTGCTATAGGGCATATGCACTCACGAGAGTCAGAGAAACAGAAAGCAAGAAATCACCCACTCCACCAGGGAGGGGATGGTCACCCTGCAATCCTTCTCCTCCATTCTCCTCTTGGGATTCTGGGCATGCAAGCACACATGGCCAGCCTGACTTTTAACCCTCTAGGCCCAAGACTCGAACCACAGTCAATTATGTGGGAGTCCAGGGACGTAACCACTACATGATCTGCTGGTACCTCTGGCTTGTTTTTTAAACAACGCTTGTACGTCAAAAGATCGTTAAAAAAAATTAAAGTTAAAACTAACTCTGAATTTTCAAACCATTAAAATGTGTAGCAGAATCACTAAGGTATCAGGGTTAACCCATATTCACTTAAAATGCATTCAAATATAGTTCTCTTCCTCTATTACCTACCTTTGGCAAACCCAACCCTCATTTCTTGAAGTTTTACAGTAGGCAAAAAAAACATTAAGAGCAGAATTGGTTTTAAAGTAGTAAGGATTATCTGTACATTTCTTAAACTACAATTCAAATCACATAAATAACGTCAATATAGAACTGAATAAAAAGTAACATCACAAATAGAACAAGCTGCTTTCTGTACATCTATAGCAATTACTCTATACATTTTAAAACAAAAGTCCATGTATAAGATACAAAACAAACAGTACTGAACTTAAGAATACTGAAAATTTTCAAATTCAAATCCTAATTATATATTGATTAAACAAGCAAATTATTCTTAATTCTAGGGCAAGATAAATTTAACATTTAGCTCTCAACTTAGCCATTTATTAGGCTCAAAAGTCTAACGAAAGTTTTACTAGTCAACAACAAAATTTCTTTAAAATATCAGTTACCCTAAGAGTTAATATTCAAGAGAATCAATCCTAATGAGCTACATACTTCTTTCAAAATTTAGCTTTAATGAATCACAAACATTTGACAAACTGTTGGTGTAGCAAAAATAGAATTTTAAACAAAATCTCTTGTAATGATACTTCTACCTACCTGTATCTTCAATAAATGCCACACACTTTTCAACAAATAGTGGTATGGGCTTCTCAGCTGTAACCAGATCCTGGAGGGGCATCCCAAAGTAATTACTTTCCCAATTTCTACGTGTTGGTGGATTGAAGTTCTTAGTTTTCTTTTTCTGCTATAAGAAAACATATTCAAGTTAAAACTATTAACATTAATTTCCTTCAGAATAGTATTAGTATGATGAAATATACATACACGGTTTGGATCAAAGAAATATTTAAAAGCCATAGCCGACTTAAATTTCCATCAATATGTGACTCATTAAATAAATTCTGCTAGAAGAAACAACCTGAGCAATAGAGACAAAACTGAACAGAAAATAAAAATGGTTGGAATAAAATGTTCTCTTTGTAAAATAACAGAAGACTGGACAGGTAAGAAAAGATCAGAAATCATTTTTCTTTTTTTCCTAATGATATATCTTACTAATTTATTTTTAAATTTTTGCCAAAGAGAGAGAGAAAAAAAAAGAGAGAGAGAGAAAGAAGGCAAGAAAGCACTCTCCATGAAGTACAGTCATGCTACAATTCCTTCTCCTCCATTTCTCCATTCCTCTTAGAATTTTGGATGTACAAGCATCTGATATGTTTCTCAAGCCACATGGTCTATTATTTGAACCTGAACCAAAGCGTCAGCCATGTCAGATCTGGCTCCATTAACAACCAGGCCACAGAAATAGTTTTTTTTAATGCCAATACCAGGGATAAATGAGGAGAAGGCTATGCCCAATTCAGTTCAGGTGTGGTCTCTTCATCTTATTTGGTTTTGAAGCAGGTCCAAGTAAGGTTTTCATGTATACCTATTTTGTAAGAACTTAATACCAAAAAAACTTAATATTGATTATACAATAAGGCTATGTAACTCCACTAACTTTTTGTCTCATAATTTGCCCCTTATTCCTCCATGTTCATCCCATCTACTGCTTCTTAAATATTAAGATTATTTTCAAAATATTAAAAAAAAACACTAAATAATAATTTTCAGAGTTTAACATCAATCTAGCATTACAGAGAAAATGGGTTCTTGATCAGGGAGTAAACATCTCAAAAACCTCAGGAAGTATTATCTGAAATCAAACCGTGAAACAGATTGTCAGCTGAGAATCGCTTACGTATAGAAAGATGAGAAAGTTTTTAGAAATTCAAAGAAGATGTTGCAGCACTTTTACTGATAGCCCTGCCTCATTTTTCAGTCTAATTTCATCTACAATTTTTCATTTTCTCTGGTATAAATTGTTTATCTCTTCATATCATTATTGAATGTCTAAAACAATAGTGCTCTTCATAGTTTCTCATTTTTTCTGGAGGAGTCTTTCCTTTGGATGGATACCCTGATGTATCCTTCCAAGGATCTGGAAATCTTGACTACTTAACTAAGTCTTTTCATTACCAGGCTGTTCTATTAAGCAAACTGTCAGAGCTCATGAAATCTCATTTTGAAGTCTTATATCTTTATCACTCTCTGGTAACACAGATCATACATAAACCTGGTACATACAGATTATAAATAACAAGATAATTAAGTGTCTGGAATGTTGTCAACAGCACACTCACTGATCTGGCTCAACAGCTAATCTACCAAGTGGTATGGATTCTTACTTCTTAAATGACCACTTCACTAACTTCCACCTCTGAAACGAAATAAGGAAGTAGAAATAAAGATACTATAAAGGAATAAATGATAAAGAGATCTTAGTCTGCAGGGTCACCTGAGAAATACAAAACTGTAAGAAAAATAAGCTAGCTAGCTAACTAGTCCTGTTACAATCAACTTTTTTTTTTTTAAGAGAGATTTTTGCCATAGCATGTGTGCACTCACCGTAGAGACAGACAGACAAAATGCAAGATGTCATCCCTAGGGAATTGGCCATGCCACAATCCCTTCTCCTCTATTCTCCTCTTGGGATCTTGGGCATGAACTCACGTGAGCTTTAAGTCACCAGGTCCAGGACTCAAACCATGGTTGATTATGTGGGAGTCCAGCAATGTAACCATCACACTATCTGCTGGTCCCCCAATCAACTCTAAAAAAAATCCTTTTTAGGAGCCAGCAGATGGCGTGGTGGTTAAGAGCACTGGACTCCCACCTGGCTGACCATGGTTCAAGTCCTAGACCTGGTGGCTTGCTTTCTCACTTTCCCTCTCTCTCTCTGATCAAATTGAAAAATAAAAGAAATAACGTTAAAATAAAAATAATTCTTAAAAAAAATCCTTTATTAAAGAAAAAAAAGGAAAAAAAAAAAGCTTCAGCTGTAGAGACAAGAGAGGGAAAGTGAGAAATCAGCCCTTCCCCTCAAGGGGAGGGTGGTCACACCGCAATTCTTTCTCCTCCATTCTCCTTTTAAGATTTTGAGCACGCATATGCATATAGCTCCCAGTGTGAGCTTCAAGCCACCAAGTCTGGGACTCAAATCATGGTCAGCCATGTGGGAATCCACCTCTTTAACCACCACTCAAATTGCTGGCCCAAGAAATCCTTTTAATTTTTTCTAGAATTATTTATTTATTATTATTATTTTAAATTTGTGAAAGGGCATATGTGCTCACTAGAGAAAGACCGAGAGAGAAGGAAAGTGAGAAAGCAAGCCTCCAAGTCTGGAGTTGGTCAAACTGCGATTGACCATGTAGGAGTCCAGCATCTTAACATCCATGCCACCTGCTGGCCACAAAAAATCTTTTCAATACTGACTTTTAGAAGTTCATCTAAACTTAGATGACTCTGAAATCATTCTATCTCTACTCTTGGTTCATGAATAGTGAAAGAAGAAGAAAAAATGAAATCTAAACTTTAAGCAGCCCTGAAAACTTAAAACTGAGGGGGGGTGAGACAAGAAAGCAAAATAAGGCAGATTCTCAGGCCTATGTTCAGTAATGATCTCTGAAGGTTCACAAAGCTATAAGGTCAAGTTATTTAATTCTGAAGTTTCACCAAGATTTGGGGCTAGTAAATTTAAGGCAATGAAAGGCTAAGTGGCAACTGCAAGGAATCTCTGACCAAGCTCTCGGGACTTTTTTAAACACAGAACTATTCTTGACAGTCAAGTTATGATCCATATATATTAGGAGGAAAAAAAAGCCTATGTGACTTTAACTAATACCCAATTAAGTAATGACATTACTACTAAGAAAAATTCTAAAAAAGAAAAAAACACAGTTTTGGATTAGACATTCCTGTAATACCTTTGAAACTTAACAAAAATGTATACAGTTCCTTTTTCTATAAGTAATGATTTTTAACCACCAAAATCAGTTGAAGTTCTTTTGCAGTAACTTTTGGGGACATCAGATGGCATGGTGGTTATGTCGCTGGACTCCCACATGGTTGACCGTGGTTCTAGTCCCGGAACTGGTGGCTTGAAACTTTTACCAGGTGCATATGTATGTGTTCCCCAGATCCTAGGTAGAGAACGGAGCAGAAGGGATTACAGCATGGCCATCCCTCCTTGGGGGAAAGAGGTGATCTCTCACTTTCCCTCTGTCTCTGTCTGTCTCGCTCCAGTGAGCACACATGCCCTAAGGCAAAAATCTCTTAAAGAAAAGAAAGTGACTTTTTCAAAAAAAGAATTATTTAATTTTATTTGGGAGTCCAGCGCCCTTTAACCACCACATTACCTGCTGGCCCCAAAGAAAGTGATCTTTTTAAAAAAATTATTTATTTATTTTTGTTTATTTATTCATTTATTTTAATTTGACCAGGGAGAAACACAGAAAGAAAGAGAGGGAAAGTGAGAAAGCAAGCTGCCAGGTCCAGGACTTGAACCATGGTTGGCCAAGTCAGAGTGTCTGGTGCCTTAATCACCATGCCACCTGCTGGTTCCCGAAAGTGACTTTTAAAAACCTCTCACATTAAAAAAAAAAAGAAAAAAAAAAGGGCACCAGCAGACGGCACAATGGTTATGTCACTAGATTTCTACCTACTTGACTGCTACTCAAGTCCCTGAGCCAGTGGCTTGAAACTCATGCCGGGCATGTGTGCATGCAAGCCCAAAATCCCGAGAGGACAGAGAATAGAGGAGAAGGGACTGTGGCATGGCCATTCCCCCTGGGAGGTGATTTCTTGCTTTTTGTCTGTCTCCGTGGTGAGTACAAGCACCCTATAGCAAAAAATCTCTCTCAAAAAAATAAAATTCTCTCATATAATTCTGATATACTCCTTTTGGTCAAGAATTGTTAATCTTGGGACCAGCAGTTAGCGTAATGGCTATATCGCTGGACTCCCATGTAGTTGACCACGGTTCGAGTCCTGGACCCAGTGGCTTAAACTCACACTGGGCACATGTGTGTGCATGCCCAAGATCCTGAGAGAATTGAGAAGGGAATGCGGCATGGCCATGCCCCCTGGGGGGTGATTTCTTGCTTTCTGTCTCTCTGCCTCTCTCTGCCTTTCTGGAGAGTGCACGTGCCCTATAGCAAAAACCTCCCCCCAAAAAAAGAATAAAAAAAAAAAGAATTGTTAATCTTGGGATCAGCAATTGGCATAATGGTTGTCTCCGGACTCCTACACAGTTGACTGTGGTTCAAGTCCTGGACCCAATAACTTAAAATTCACACCAGGTGTGTGTGTGCGCACACACGCACACGTGCACCTAAGATCCTGAGAGGAGAATAGAGGAAAAGGGATTGTGGCATGGCCATTCCCCCCAGGGGATGATTTCTCGTTTTCTGTCTCTGTCTCTCTGGCAAGCACATGCAATCTATAGCAACAATTTCTCTTAAAAAAAAAAAAAGAGGAATTGTTGATCTTTATAGCTACATATGCATACCAATACAAAATGGTTTATATAAATTAACAACTACTTCATAAATGAAATTATCTAAGACTAGATGATTATAATTGCTGTAAAATGCCATTGAGGTTTTCTGAATATAGGAGAAAAATGAAAAGTAATGCTACTTTGCTGTTTATATCTATAGCTTTCAATGAACCCTTAGTCAGAAAAGGCATTTTCAATTAAGTAATTGTGCCAATGTAAAACGAGATCTCACTTATTTGTCTAATCAAATATTCATTACTATATTCAATTATATCCTAATTTCTGCTTAACTGTAAATGCCCACGACCTTTTTTCCAGCGATTTAAATCTCAAGTCTGCATACTCTCAGTAAAACAGAACAT